GAGCTCGAGTTTCAAAAACCAATAATGCGGCTGCCATCAGCAACAACGACGCGGACGCAGACGACGACTGACGACAGCAACATGGCGCACAACAAGCAATAAAAATGGCATAAAATTCAAAATGAAAGCTAAATGCTGCTGGGTCATATAAACGTGCATATATAACCCCCAAACCCCCAGTTACACCCCTGTATAGCCTCTCTCGGAGCGCTGTGTGCTGCATAAAAATAAGTAATATCGTAAAAATTACAGGAAATAAAAATCGCAACGTAAATACGTGTAAGTGCGAGAGTCGGCCAACTTTCCCGACTTGCTGAAATTGGCAGTAAAGTTATGACCAAAAGAAGGAGAAAGACACGCTGAAAAAGAGCGAGAGAGTGCGAGGAAAAACAGTAACAATATTTGGGGTGGGACATGGAGTTCAAGTTGGCCATTACATGGCCATATTCTGGGCAAATGTTTTGGAAAATAAATAATTCCCAGTTGCCATAAATGTGTGGACTGTGCGGACTCGACCTTCTAGGGGTTGTTCCACACCGATAAAAATAAATGAGATAAGTTTCTGCAAAATTATTTCAAGCTTGAGGGGAATCAGCAAATTTAGTCGGGCAGGAAATTAAGCCAAAAAGTAAGATATGAAACCGTCTACTAATCGTTCAAGTCTCAGCGTTAATCCTGCAATTAGGCACTCGGCTTACAATTCGACTTTTACCCATGTCTTGGCTCCATCTCCATGTCCGTCTCCGTCTCCATTCAACTCAATTATAATAATCATGCTGCCGCTGCTGGCCATCCTGCTGATGTTGCTGCTGCAAAGTGTGCAAAATTAATTGGCCACTGGACAAACAATCGCCTGCGAATCGGATATTTCAAGGGATTCCAGCCAGAGGTAGGGGCAATTTAATAATGAAATGTATAGCGTAAGACTGGGGCATTAACAAGCCGGGGCCACAACTGCAGTGGAAATCATAGCCATAACTCTGCATGTTGTGCATTAATATTTCCTCTGCAACAGTAGAAACATCAGCTGCAACAGAAACAACAGAGGCAGCAGTGGCAGCTGCCCCAACTTCAGTTACAGCTTTGGATACCCTTGCAAATGCCATATGACTTACCAGTATCTGTGCAAAGTTTCAGCCAGAAATCTACTCCTTGTGGGTGGCCTGGCCTCTGATCATAATCAAAATACCGCTCCAAAGGGTATACGAACATCAGCAATTGCAATTACCGTCCGTGTGTGTGTGAGGCACCATAATCATTTGAAACGGCAAATTATGACAGCAAGGAGGGGCCCATAACAACAATTGCAACTGCAACAGCAACAGCAACAACTGAAACATCAGCCGCATCACTGCCGCAGCAACAACAGCAACACGAACAATTGCAACTGCAACATAGGCGTACGGCAGGCAAATGAAATGAGCTTTTAATCAATTTCCGGTATTAAAGCGTAGCCAACCCAACCAACCAACCAACTATTCAAGTATCCAAGTATCCGCCCGTCCAACCATACAACCATCCAATCATCCCACAGCGTTTGCCGCTGGCCGTTGCAAGCCATTGTTGCCGCAGCACTGTCTGCTTGTTGCTGTTGTTGCATTTAATTAACAAACAATTTATATTCATAAACCTCAATCGGTCACATGCAAATGCACACATGATTGCCCGCTGGGAGAGCTCGACAACAATAAAAAAGAATTGAATGAGAAATAATTTCATTCAAGTGCAAGTTAGAGAATGGAGATACTCTAACATCGTGATCGGGAAATAGGTGGGGAAAATTAGAGCTTCAGTGGGAAGAAAATCTAAATATTCAACATTGGGAAATGTGGGTGCATTTAATGTTTAAAATTCCGTATTTCTTTTAATAGATCTCGCTGCCTACATCAGGGTTATGGAAACCAAACGTGACTGAAATATTTTACGAACCTCTAGTCAACTATTTTTATGACCAATGTTAGCTTCATTTTCGCAGCTATAAATGGATGTCTTACCATTAACCAAAAAAGGAAAAGGTCAAGTTTCAGAGACTAATTAAATTATAGTGTGTAATAGTATATATTATTTCAAAAAGTTTGTGAGAACTCTTCTTCAAGATTAGTTTTAAAGCTATAAAAAAACAGCTATGAAATGAAATGAGCAGTTTTGAACATTTTGCTTTTAAAAAGCAGAGAAGTTTAAGTCTCTGAATAAGCTATTACGAAAAATACATAAAATGGTAAGTGACTTCTTATGTATAGAATATAAGAGTTTTTAGCAATTGAGACGGGTATGCCTCGGGCATACACTGATAGTGTTCTCTGGGGTTCGGGCAATGTTTTAGGTACTCCTAGGTGTGATACATCAATCCATAGATATACAAAGCCACCCATTAAGCAGGCTAAAAGGATTTTTCTTTATCAAAGGCTTTATCTGTTTCCTCTATCGTAAGTTCAGTGTCATATTCTCTAACAAAAGTTAGTTAACTTTAATTTAGTATGCTAAAATGATATTTTACAATGTGAATGTTATAAATATTGCAAATGCGTGGCAAGGCAATAAAAATCAAGTGCACACAGATGCGCTTACATAAATAAATATATTTATTAATATGCAGGTATATACTGTGGTGTGCTTTGTGTAACAGAAACGTGGCACCGGAAAAGAGCAGTTGCAGCAACAATATGAAAGCTGATTGGGGGGCGCCCCGTTTCGCGATTTGTGGCTGCCACGTGTTGCCAGCATACTCACACTCTCGGGCGGAAAAAGAGAGAGAGGGAGAGTGAATGGGGTAGAGGACTGCCACACATCACAGACACATGTCCATTTATATTGCAACAACGGCAACAGCGCATTCTGCTTTCGACGGCCGCAATTGGACATGGCCCGAACGGATTCCGAGGCGGTGTCCAGGGATGATGGTGGCCAAAGCCCTGACACCCAATTAACCCTGGCGTACGAGTAGACAAAGCCCACCACACAGGGAATACAGGGAATGGACTTTTGGGGTGCTCTGCCAGCTTAGCAAATCATTAATTAAACCTGGCCAAAAACAGAAACCAGACACAAAAGCACGAAAAATTATAATAATGAACAACGCATGGGAAATAAACGCAAAAGGCTTTGCGGGCAGGCAGCCCTGTCCACCTTGTCCCCTCTGTGGTTCGGCAGCCCCCCCCCTCAAACTAATTAGCATGTTGAAATGTGTTTAGTCGCTGTTGTTGCCGCTGCTGCTGCTGCTGTTTGTGGCAGCCACCACTCAGAGGTCAGAGCGAGGTCCAAGCGAAACGAGCATTAAGCATGTGGAAATGAAAATGGGAGTGGGGCAGTGGCAGTGGCAGTGCCAAGCAGAGAAAACACATAAGTTGCAGCCGAGAGGTCAAGTAACATTAAGGCAAGGGGTCAGTGATACGTTTGGTTAGACAGAGAGGCAGAGAAACTCGTATGTTAAGGGCTAAGAAATGTCCAGGGAAGTACGCGGATCTTTTAGGATACCGAGCCCATATACTAGTACTTCAGTAAAGTATCTATGGCAATGCCTATTGTATCACACAACTTGGGTAACTGAGGAATATAAAACATAGGAGATAAGGAAATATCTTGCGTAAAGGTGAATAAAGAGCACAAGGAATGACAGCCATAAGTATGGGGGAGTAACGTAAGAAACGTATAAATAAAAATTCTATTATATATATACCTATTTATTTATAAGAATTGTCAATCGAATTGCGTTTTCCTAGCCAAAACCATAGATTGTTGCCAGTACCGTCTACAATTTAATGAATTTGACGATAGAGTACCTAATGATCTAATTCTCTTAGGTTTAAATTGAAAAGCTTAAAAAAGCTGGATACTTTGTGGCTTTAATCGATCAATGCCAAGTAAAAATAAAACTCATTTGAGTACGCGCTCTTGTAAGTCTTCATCTCCCACCGAGTTCTCGTTCTCCCTTATTATATTGATGATGTTGTTTTAGCAGACCTTCTGCGACTGCTGCTACGAGTTTGTATGGGTATGGGTATGGGTAATGTTAATGATGATTATGTATAGTCGCTAAAATAAAGTACTTACAGAGTGGAAAGCACATAACATTGTATGGATACAAATTGCAGAGAGAACAAATATAAATATGGGTACTTATATATCATAGTCTGTGGGCAGATTCAGTCTAACCGCAAACTCATTATGGCCCCCAGTCTCCTTCAAGTCTCCCTCTCCACCACTTTGCTGTTGCTGTTCTCCCTCTGCCATACTCTTGCTGTGGCAGAGCTTTAATGACGGGCGAATATTTTGTATAATATAGACATTTTCTATGGCCCCGACATGGCCAGGCGCTGAAGAGGAGACAAAACCGGCAGTAACCAGCGGCGGCAACAGCGGCAACGGCGGCATTGGCATCGGCAGTAAGCCAGCAGCTGAAAAGCGACCTGGCCGAAACCGCAAAAACTTGCCTTTTGGTTATTTTGTGTCTGGCATTGTCATTGTGGTTGTTGCCGCTGTTTCTGCTGTTTCTGTTGTTGCTGCTGTCATGGCTGTTGTTGCTGGCCAAAACGTGCAATTAAATGCTGTATAGATGCTGCCGCAGCCATAAGCTATCGCCAATGCCTGCAGCAGTGGCCACAACTAAGGCTATATGGGCGAAGCCAACTTATTGGCAGTTGCTTGCCAAATGCAATGAATGAAAATTGCACAAAAACAGAAAGAAAAAATAAGGAAAAAGAGAAAGACACAAAGAAGAACACAATTACCGCAGAGAGGCATTCACAAGGCATATTATTGATTGGCAACCGCAGAGATACTCGTACACTCAACCAGAGACCAGGCGACACAGATGCAGATGTAGATGTAGATGCAGATACAAATGCAGTTACAGATTCACATAGTGACTAAGGCTCTCTCTCACTAATGACGATGATGGCTACTGGCTCTGGCTCTGGCTCTCGGCGAACGTTTTTGGCTGCCATTGACATTGAAAATCTGGCAATTTGCAATCATTGCAATTAGTTTTTATTCCCTGTCGGACCTCAACGCGTCGCGATCCAAACCGCTGGCCAGAACTTTTCTCATACAAATTATTGCCCAGGAATCGAGGAGAGGAATTTGTGCGCGAAATTATTGGGTAATTTATAAACTGAAAATGACAAAAACGAGCGATACGAACGAAACGGAACGGAACGGAACCGTTTTCAAGGCTTGCATAACGAGAGGTTTGTTCGTTTCGTTTGAGAAATGTTAATTATTTTTCGCGCATTTCCAATTTCTCATCGTGCGGGACGGGAACGGGAGTAGGAGTGGGAGCGGGATGGGGAACGGGACCCTGAAAACGTGAATTGCAATTGCAAATTGCTAATTGCCAGCCGATTATTTATAACCGTGTCCGTGCATTTGCAAAGTTCAAATGTGCGTTTGGTCGGAAGTAATTTGCTCGTTTAACGCGTCTATAAATAGGCGCCCTGATAGCGACGACAATCGTTGGGCCGCCCCGCCAAAGCTTTAGCGTCAGCACTCAGGGGGCAAGGTGGCGTATACGTAATGGCATGATATGAGCCCCGAAGGCGAGGAGTGACGATGGCGTGGCTTGTTCATGTGTGTGCCTATGGTTTGTCATTCTCTTAGCAAGTGGGTCGCACGAGAGAGCAGCGAGGAGAGTAGCCTTGCTCCACATTGCTCTTATGGGCTGCCCCCCATTGAATCATTGAATGTTCAGGTTCTTGCTTCCGCTAATCTCTGGCCGGGAAGGGGAAATGGGCTGTAATGAGTATCTATGATGCACGGAATACAAGTACTTGCGGCATCCAGATCTCTTGAATCGAAAGTGTAACTCTGGTCCCATTTCTGACACTCTCCGCAGCTTGTTTTTCATTCAATCCAAGTCAAAACAAAGCAGAACAAGAAACAGGTTGTAGTGGAATACAATTTGGAATGTGCACGAAGAATACCTGACTAAGGCATTGCTCCTCGAAACCTAGAGCTGTAATTAGAGATGAAAAAGGATAGAGTTAATGCGAATACTCTTGTTCCTTTCAATTGATTCTCTTGTTATCGCAATTGAAAGTAAGACACTTTCCCAATGGTGCTAAAAGCACCTGGGAACCTTTTAGTCGAGACACTCTGCCACAACCTTCTTTCTTGCTTTTATGCTTTTCCTTGGCAGTCTTTTCAATGTTTGTGATTAGGCCCCAATGACACCCATTCCTCTTTCCATTGACAAACGCAATCCCATTCTCTGCCACATTAATCATGGCAACATTTGCCATGCAATTAAGCAAATGAAGCCTGCATTTAAGTGCTGACAATGATGATGATGATAAGGGGACTTCGACTCTGAGTCGGGGTCTTGGGGATGGGACTGGGTGTTGGGACAGGGGAAATCTTGACGAAATCATTAGTCTAATGTGGTTAGTCGAACATCGATAAGTGAGTGTGCCCCAAGCAGGCACCTAATGCGCATTTAATACCCCTTTGAGTCATTTGAAATTCAATCGAGTCGCTGGCTAATATTGTAAGCCCGCCCGCCCGCTCGATCAGAACAAAGAACGCAACGCATTCGGTATCAATTGAATTCGAGTGGAGTCGACACTCATTTCTGGCAATTCATCAAACCCGAATTACAATTGAAATGCAATTTTCTGATTTTGTGATGTGGCAAATTAAAAACCGGCAGTCGCATATCACAATATATCGGACAGACAGCAAAAAACCCATTGACGCAGACCGCAATTCAATCAGTCAACGTCGTCGTGGCCTTTTTCGTCAGTCTTATTGGCCATACACTTAAATGGCCAACAAATCCCCGACACCGGCCAGCCGGCCAGCCGGCCAGATGTCCGTTTTCAGATTTCAGGCAGCCCAAGACAGCGCGCAAATGTCAAACGTATTCCGCCATAATTAAATTATAAATATTACAACAATTTGTTGCTTTCTTTGCGCAACAAACAAACATACCACACCACACAGTTCATTTAAGTATTTTGAGCACAAATCGCCTGTGTGCGAGTGCCAGTGCCAGTGCGAGTGCGAGAGGGGAGGAATTGCGCATACGCCACGTTGCATGGCCAAATGAAATCGCATTGAAAGCCAAACGAAATTGCATTGAAAGCGAACAAATAAGTTCGGTTTATGGACACAGAACGAATGTGGAATGCACTTAAGAGTTGGATTTCCGCTTCAAAATAACAAATTGGATTTGGGGAAAACATTTACATATGCCGAAAGAGATGCCACTTGAACCGTTGGTATTATTTGGAGGAACCTCAATTTCTGTACTAATTGTATTGATCCATGTAGATCCTCTCAATCCTCTTCATTGGCAATCCGTTATAGAGTCCAAATGAACCCTTCCTTTTCCAAGAGTATATCGAACAAGGCGAAAAGTTGCGTATGTCATGCGAAACGGCATTCGTTGAATGTAATTCCTCGTGCTCACTTTTCCGGCTGCCCCTTAACCCGTTGCTACCTATCAACCGCTCCCCTCACCCCTGTCTGGGGGTCGCCAATCACGTGTCGCAAACATGATTTATTTCGTCAATTTATGCCAAAAGTGTAAAACGATTTTCTGCCGTGCCAAATGAAATATTATGACGGGCACTATCATTTACATGTGTTTCACAGCCTCCCACTTTCCGCGTGCGCGTGTGTCTGTGTCTGTGCCTGTGTGTGGGCGTGGCATTTCGTTTAGGAATGCGACAGTTGACTGACTAAAGCTATCTCATTCACTCAGTCAGTGGCCCTCTCTTTCTAACGCACTCGTGCCATCTCTGTTGCTCCGTTTGAATGTGTTGGCATTTTGCAATTTAGCAAAAAGGGAAATTACATTTAAATTGAATTGTAAACCGAATAAATTGTTGGATGTTGAAGAGGTGTTGGCTCGGGGATGGTTTTTGGAGTTATGGGATGGGATGAAAGGGGGTTCAAAGTGTGAGTGTGAGTGTGAGTGCGAGTGTGTGTTCTGTAAATTTACGATTGAACTGTGGAATGGCATTCGACTGTTTCTGCGGGTGCTCTTCTGAATAATTTAGCATTTGAAAGTTATCAGTCTATACATAAATACTGCTCACCATGAGGGCTTTTCCCCAAAGCTCTGGGGAGTGGAAATTGCAGAAAGAGTAAGGGATACAAGGAGCTAGGCGGGAGAGTGTTGGTAGTCAATTAGTAAATGTTTAGAAAACTTTATCAATTTCCCTATGGAATCTTGATTTAGTCTCTTTTCCTTTCCTTCCGCCCGAATTCGATTGGAAAAGCGCTGCAGCTTTAAATGTATTTTTGATTTAACATTGTTTATTGTATTTGGCAACAAATTCAAATGTATTTATCATGGCCAAGCCGACGCACACACAAAGTACGAGTGTCTGCAGAATAAAATGGAAATGAAAATTTTAATTTATTTAGCATATGGAAATATTTCCACAAAGCCGACACAAAAACCCAAAGCACACACACAAAATTAAAACCCGCATTTATACGTGAACGAGTGAACGAGTAAACGAGTATTTCAACAGCAGCTATGGGATGGTACCCAAAGAGGTTAAATAAAACAATTCTATTTAATCTGGCTGATATGTATATCCTACATAAGAGGTTGGGTAAACATATAGGCCATGGCAAGGCCCGTAGAAATACGCAATGGATTGCCAAACCGCAAAATGGCAACTAATTAAATTAATGGGAAACAAATGCGTGACCAGGATTGGAACCCCATGACATACCAAATCCAATCACTCTCCATCCAAATACGAATACGACTACGAATGTGTATTTGTATCTGTATCTGTATCACTATCTGCGTCTGCATCTGCGGGGAGTCAATTAATGTTGTCCAAGTGGATGCTGATTTAAGTGCAATTAAAGTGCAAATTCTCAAATATTTTTTCTGCTGATATGCCAGTTGTCCGCCCGTCCATCCGTCCGTCTTGCCGGTCGGTTCCATGCGATATGCAAATTAAGCAAATGCCAGCTAAGCGCAATGCTAGTCGTATACGTATCTGTATCTATGGCCAAGTACGAGTACAGATACCCGTATCCATAAGATACCAGAAACCAGACGGCCAGACAGCGACAGCCACATACAACTTTTATCGCATGTGCATTTTCTTAGCCCACGACGCCAAAGACGATAAATGCAAATCTTGACAGTTTTCTTTAAAACATTTTTATTTATTTTCGGTTGAAGTTGCATTTGCGTTTCGTTTCGTTTCTTTTCTTTTTTAGTTTCTTCTCTTTTCAGTTTTGCTTCGTGGACGAACAAAGTTTCTTGGCTTTAGTTTTCATTGTCTGGCGGGTTGTCTGAGGGTCTGTGGGGCCATTCGGAAGCACGTTTCGTGCTCGCACATCCGCCGTAGTACGGCAGTAGTTGCAGTTCCAGCAGAAAGATACAAATGTATCTCGCACACAAATGGGCCATCTGCTGCCACCCCCTCACTGCCAGCCATACACATAGACATAGACAGGCCCCAGCAAGATTGTCGCAACGACTACGGCGACAACACGCCATTACATTCCCTTCAAAGTTGTCCAAATACTTTGAAGCCAGTCTGGAGGTGGCTTGAAGGGTAAAGTTACGGCACTTTTTAATTATCGCTAATTATGGAACTCATCTTACAATTTATTCCGTTGAAAATGCTGTCGGATGAACGATAGTCTTTCCTAATTGAAATTTTGATTTAATAATCGATTAAGTGCGTTATCTATCTGAGACAGTGGTCGATATCTATGGCTGATATACATATTGACCCCAATTGTAGGGTCTCAATTCAAGTTTTCTTTTCTTATCTTTTCCTTTGTTTACACATTCGTAGAAATGTTTCTTCATCTGCAATATTGCGTATACTTTTTCCGCGTACTGCACACCCTTTATTTTATTGAAAAGATCTGAGGCCCCTCCATTCGGAGATGGTTCTTTCCTGCGAATTAGCTCACCCATTCAGAAGTTCCCCCATTCAGAATGAATGTACTACGTACGTTGACAGAACTACTCATCTGCATTACAAATAAGTTGCAACTCTTATAATGCAGGGAATTAATTATAGCGGAATGTTTATTAATCCATCAGATCCATTTCGCGGACGATTACTGCTTCCGTTTGGGATCGGGTTTGCCATCCCCTGTCAAGGGCAGAAATGC